CATTGAAGTATACAAGTATACTCATGGTTTGTACAAGGTCCCAGAAGGATTACTAAAATTTGAAACAAGAACCAACACCAGGGGCCACGGCTATAAACTAAAAAAACTGCGCTGCAACTTCTCCATTTCTTCTCGCTTCGAATCACCGACATGTCGAACAGCCTCCCCAATGACATCGTTGGCGCTCCAAGTATGAACGCGTTCAAGAACGGACTAGATAAAGCTATGGAAAAATATATGTTCAGATTTGAAGTGCCTAGCACCATATCGAACCCGGTGGAAGTCTAGTAGCTACTTGAAACTATCGTCAGTCATGTAAAGATCCGGTCAAATGAAACGATATTAGATCTTCTTTGAACAAGGCACGAAAAGGAAAAGAATCGGCGACAGGCCACATCAGGCCTCCACTTCAGCGCCGAGATCACTATGTTATGTTATGTCTTGTTCAGTTAGCTGTACATTTGCAAGTGAATTTTGTATACGAAAATGAAAAACTGGATTCGGAAATAGGAGTAGAGGGTATAAGGTATGGTTAAAATTAAAATTTCATTCCCCAATAATGTAACAAATGAAACAATAAACCCACAGCACGGTTCTTATGTTTACAGCAAATAACTCCCCATACTACACACGAACAGGCACGTGTGTTTCGCCGGCCAAGCGGTGCTTGCTAATGCGTGCCGGCAGTATGGCCAACCCAGCCTAATAATAATGCAATATAAATTGTAAATTGCTCAAAATTGATTAAACGAAGTCAATGGTGATACATATTCAAGACATGTATAAATTAACACGTTGAGTGTGTTACGACCCACCAGGGTCGCCACATGGCCCAAAAACGGCCAGTACCGCGGAAAAATGCCTAAAATTCAATATTAACTAATAAATATCTAGGTTCCGCAGCAAAAATTTCATTTTCATTCATTTTGTACATGATTAAAATTTTAATAAGTAAGTAACGCTATCGTAAGTTTCTGCCAGCCAACGTAATTGAAAAAAGTAAATCACGGAACTTGTCCTGGAAAAAGAGACCCAGCAACACACCGGTGGGTATAGTACCGCACTCAAAACATTAAAATTAAGTAAACAATGGACTCATCCTTTCAACCATTTCAGTCACTTAAAGACGCGAAGCGCACGTATAATTCAAGCAATTTTCCAAATTTCTTTTATTCAAGCCCGAAAGTTTCTTCTGTGTTCAAACGAAGGAAACAACAATTCCTTGAGAAGTTCTCGGCAGCGCGCCAATAATTTGGTTATGGCTCCAACAGGTCTCAGTTATGCGCTGCATTGGACCTGTTGTTTGATAAAATGACAGAATATGCGCTGCAGCAGATATGAGCAGCAAACTTTATTAATTTGAGTCGGTACTTCCGCATATGCTCGGTTACAGAACAAGAACGATTTCAATGGGAACGATGTAAGAACCAACATTTAATTAATTTGCATATGAATTAATTTGCAGTTGCTCGTTATTGAGTTGCAGTTTAAAAAAATTCCAGTGATTCTGTCATGGTGCACGAAGGCAACATTATTGCATGTACAACAAACTTCCGTAACTTCTAACCACTCAGCATTATTGCAGGGGCTAAATACTTCTGTAAGTGAAAACAATGCTTAAGTATGCATGATGGATGGTAATAAATGTAGAGGTCATCTGATTTCAAAAGGGCAGAGACGCTGAAGAAGCACGTGCATACAGATGGAGTGAGGGGGACTGGATTAGGGTTTTCGTGTAAGGAGGGAGGTGAAGTTAAATGTGGAGCACCTGATTGTGATTGAGTAAAGACGACAGCATGAGTATTTTATATGTGTAAGTGGTGTGAAGCAAACTGTGGAGTAGTGTGCATATGGGTGAGGGTGAGATAATTATGAGGGTGGTATGATATGGGTGAGGAGGATGTGCACGGAGGATTACAGATGAGAATGAGATGGGAGGGTGAGAGCAATGGCTGGAAGTATGAGAGAACATATAAAGAATTGACTTCAACGATTGAGATTTGACCTGTGAAATGGTGTGGCGTGGATTGAGCATGCAAAAAAGCTATTATAAGGAAGTGTGGAGTGTGGGTGAGGAAAAATAAAAAATAAATGTAGCAGTAAAAATAATAAATAATTTTTATTATTTTTGGTCCTAGGAACTTTGAACATTAATTTTTACATTTCTTTCTGAACGTATGACTATGGGATGCTTAACAGACTGATGCAAAGTCAACAAATCCAATTCTAGCCTAGAAAGTGAAGACATCCGTCCTTCATAACATCCTACGCTTTCTGCGTATAGGCAGCATTAATTGTCGGTGCAAATGACAAACACTTACATTGGTCAAACATAAAAATTTCTTTTATGATCCTTTTCAATTTATATATTTTAAATTAATTGACTTTTAAGCGCATTTTTTAGAACATCCCAAAAAATTCGGACCTAGGCACAATGCTGTAGGATTGAATTAAACCTTTCTGTATTGTGTATAAGCCTGTCTCACGCTAGCCGTACATCAAATAATGATATGGATATTTATATTTATTTTTATATTTCTCTGTTGTATAAAAGTTGGTTTTGTCTCTATGTTCAGTTAGCGGAGTTCCCGCTAACTGACGATGTATCTTCGGTATGCAGCGGGTAAATTAGAGCTAGTTTTTACAGAGAGTTACACGCGGACGGAGCGATCTGAAGCGTGTTACGCTGCTCTTGCCACGAGATGGTTTTGTGTTGAACGTGTAACTGCCTTACTCTAATAAACTCTTTTAAACTGTGATCTGTGACACGTTTACCCTGATCCACCGGAACGAACGACCAGACCATAACAACAATCAGAAAATTTATAATCTCTTCCTACTTGATGATGCTAAAAATTTAACTTGACTCCATTTTTAATGCTGGGACGTCGAACATTACGAGAAAGAGTCGTAAATTTAATAAATTAATGGGAATCCAGGTCTTTATGAATTATGATCTAATGTAGCCAATAATTCGTAGTTGTTTATCGTACAAAGACGATGTAACCGCTTATGTAATTAAGAAAGATGATCTCCACATAAGAAAGATGATCTTCACATTCAGAATTAATGTTTTACGGTGAAAATCAAGAAAATTACGCTAAGTGACTAATTACAATAGGACAATATCACAAAATATTAGATCAGCACCTTTTCTAGCAGCCACATCAGTACCTTCATCTGAATGCACATCTGAAGTGTTTAATTACTATATCATGTTTTATTCTTTTTAAATGATATATTACGGGTTGTGGGCGTGCACTCGCGACCTTAGATTTTTGTGTTTATCATATTTCTCATTCGGTAAAAATTGTCATAATCTCAATGAATAATTTTATTTTTATCATTTGAAAAAATACGGAATATTATTATTTTGTGAGATCGTTTTCATGCCGCAGAATCTAAACATATCTATTTATTCTGCGCATAAGAAATGTCACTCTGTGGGTTGGAGAAATGAAATTCTCAAAAATTTCATTTCATGTCTAGAGAAATGAAATTCTTATCATTGTAATTACATCGACATCCTGTAAATGATCGACTGTTGAAGTAATTCGAATCGTTCAGAGTTTCTTCTTGATAAATCCAATGTCCAGTTCAGGTTCAAGTTCGCAATAAAAATATGGAATGTAAACTAGTTTTTGTGATCAACTTCTTCAGAGAACAAGTTATCAACAAGTGGAGTTGCTTTATGTTCAGTCTTGCAGAAAATATTTCCCTCGCAATTTATGCATCCTATTCTCAGGTAAGTTTGCACATCCTGAACTCATTTCAAGGGTTATGATATATATACTGATATATATCATAACCTGTGAGATATATATTTAACAATCCATTACCGTCATAACGATTTATAATGAGATTTATTTCATTTTTTCTGTTATCTCAAGATTTGTCCATATAGAATTATTTTAATTTAAAATATTTTCTGAAAAACTGCCATATAAGCGACGTTTTCACTTTAGAGTTTCACTGNGTTTCCCTGTTGCGATGTGCAAGACGGTAACGAAGACTCCAACTGCCAGAAAACAGCGAGCAAATATGGATATGTTGTGCCTGATTGTTGAGTAAATGTATGGCTGTTATTTTTAATTGTGTCATGGTGACTACCTACAACTTCCTGGTATTTTTTGCCAATTAAATGAGCCTAGTTTAGATTTACTTCGTTTAGATACTTCTTATAAAGGAAGTATCTAAATGAACAGAAAATTTATTGATTGTTATTGACCAGAGAATTCATTGATTTAAATTTTCAGGATCGAAAAAATATTCGTCAGTTGACGTTGGTTGATCAAAATGCAGGTTTAAAGAAATAATTTAATTTATTAATGACGTTTCGAATGCAAAAACATTAATTTTCAAGTTATAGGAAGCATTGAATGACTATATTTTAATGGAAATAAGTACACGATAAACGTAAATATGACACAACAATAAAATTCGGCTCCGTGAAAATAACTCCGAAACAATCTCAAAGCTTTGAAAATTTGGTGGTTATGAGATGGACAACTCGAGTCCAATGCGTAGAGATGAGGGCTTAAAAAATAGAAGTTAATTTTCTTCGTGTAAGCTACAAGAGAGTAAGTACGAGTTTCATTAATAATACAGCCTATCTAGACAGCAATTAAATGGCTTTCTATTGCAAGATTCAGTTTTCCTCTATTGTGACTAAATATACGTGTTGAACAGTGACTTGGGCAATAGTGTCGCTCAAACCTGTTAAACTTCTACGGTAGACTAAGACTAATAAAAAGGTGCGATAATTAGTCTCAGTAAAAAGTAATAAAAGGATGGTGCGATATCCAGAGGATCGTGTATGGAATACTTAATCATAGCGCTAACGCTACGACGTTGTGTGTCGAAAATATAATAGTTTTAAGGTGGGTGATCGCTGTCATTTAAATATGAGCGCCCATGATTTTATTTCACTAGTATGCCAATTAAGTTCTAAATTCTAACTAGCCTCAAAAATATTTCGTTTGACTCAATTTCAAAACTCATATATTTAAATTCATTTAGTTGCTTGGTACCATTCGCAGCGATTGCAATTGTGAGCTATTGTGGGCTTTTGGGTATTGTCCACACTGCAAGTCACTGGGCTAACTCTCTTCAGTCCTCTTCGTGCAGTAGCCCATGCAGTCACCAGCTCCGGCCAGTGAGGCAGTTAATTTTTGTCCCTCTAAAGTCTAATCCAAGCAGCCATAACGAAAGTTTGGCTGCGTGTTTTTCGTTGTAAGTGAACTGGACTGCATGGAGTCATGAGGGGCTAAATTCTTTACATCTGTGCATGACCTGCTGAGCCTCTGTGGGAGAGTATCCATCATCTTTGGCCAAGCGCAGCAGCTTCAGCCGAGACGTAAGTCCGCGCAACCACAGAGTCCTACGAGTGCGTTGCCAGACTCGGAGGCTGACCTGGCTTTCCTCTTCAGATTAATTAACAAAACTAAAATGAAGGTGGCGCTCTATCCGTTATATTTTGCTCGGAAATTTCTGAAGGAAATTTAATAAATATAATTAGGTATAGTTATAAGATCGTCGATAAGATAAGACGCAATTTTTTTCATAAATAATCGATGGAATGGCTGTGACAACCGACGACATCTTAATAGATAATTGATCGATATTAAATATTTATATTTTTCTAATATAAGTCTAATCAGACCTTCAAGATCGTATTTTAGAAAGTGAATAAGCTAACCTTAGAATATGAAAATTATTTATAATTGAGTTATGGATGCATTTATGATTTAATAAATATTTCGTCCATATATTTATTTCCCTAGGGGCAGCAATGAGCGGAGCGGCAAAAACCAATTCATTTGTACGTGGTGTCAACCGGTCCTAACCAATCTCCCGGGCCCATCAGGATACACCGGCCTGCGGTTTGATCCAATTTATTAATAAATATAACAAATTTTCTGGCCATTAAATTTTTCTTATTGCCATCTCGAACCCTGATGTTCTTAATTTTAGCTACGGGAGAGAGCACCAATATATGTGTTATGTTCAATTATTGGAAAGCTCGATTTGCCTGACACACTTTTAGTCATTAATCGATCATTATTTTCAAAACATTACTTTCGAATTATAAGTTGTACTATCATCATTCTATAAAACATCAAACCTCATTCATCATCTTGTAAATCTCAAGATGTATTTTTTATCCGTACGGAAATGCATTTTTTAATATCCATGGTGTATCATTGTGTATGAACTTTAAGTTCGAGTATCAAACTTCTAAATTCAATTAATAATGTTTCTAAACTTTGCGTCCGCATGGAATATTTAGGTTATGTCTCTGTATGGTGACAGGAATAATAATTGTTCAGTCACGACCTATCCATTAATGGGCGCAGTTTTATCCACATATGTTATCAATACCTCATCGCCAAATGGAAAATTTTTAACCTAGGCTACTTACTTGTTAGATATACCCAACCTTTCCGCCCTGCAAGACTTATGATATGATAAATGTAATAAATCATAAATAAACCATAAATGATAAATGTAAATGGCCACATCTTATTACTGACATATTTAATAATCTCGTCATTTAGACACATTCTACCTACTTGTGTTAGACATATTTTGCCTACATCTTGTACAACATTCTTGTCTTGCGTGATTTATCCTACCTACAAGTTTTATTTAACATGTTCCACTACTCGTCTTGTATGACAGATTTAATCCAGTCACGGTAAGCAGCCACTCGCGTCGCGATGGTAGGGAGAGGATCAGAAGAGTTGTCGACGTCAGGTAAGGGGTCCATGGCCCTTGAGAACCGAGATCCCCCCACAGTCACGACCCCTGCTAGGGCCCACGCACCATCCTCCAGTTTCTGCATCAGTGGCGACCCTGGCTCAGCCTTACCAGTGCCATGAAAAAAACATTTGTTATGAGATAGGTACAAGATTATTTTGACAAGTTTTATATATTATCATGAAGTGTTTAATGCAGCGTTTGTGCATGTTAAATAATATGGAGCTTGGTGAAGCTGCTGGTGCTGTCATGAGGGAGCATTCCTTATTATAACTAATCAATTATAAAAAAACAATTGTAATATGCCTTGATTGTTTATTCCAAGAAATGGATCAAATTTTACGATAAACATGCTTGTTTTCATTACTGAGAATAATGAACGTCAAGACTTAATTGCGGGCTGCACTGTAATGTCAGCCGAATGTAAAAAGTTGTTGTTTTCTATGCAAAATGAAGACGGTGAAAGGTTGAAATTACATGGTTTAGTTTCTATGGGATTTATTATTTCTGTGTTTGTGTGGGTTGTACAAGAGGCAACTTGTGGTGGGTGTTATGTCGGGTAATGTGAAAATGATTGTACCTATCTATAAAATACCATGCGCAGCGTGATGGTGCATGGTGGGATGCTATGGTGATTAATACCTAATAGTTAATAGCTTTAGCTCATAGTAGACTATGTTTTTGATCATGTGTCAATGTCGTTTAAACATAATTATGATGTTTCAATAGCGTTTGTACAGTGCGCAACGCAATACCCTATGATGGGATAATCTAGTCAGAGTGGTTATCATGCATTTGTTTAAATATCCGTATTCTGCACTACATAAGTAATTGGTAGGGTTCTCATTGTTAAGAAACTATCTCGGGTTCAAAATTTTTGTGTATGGAGTGACCTGACTGAAAAGTCAATGTTAAATTATCCCTTGACGCAGCAAGTGCAATGCCGTATCAATCGCGAGCCTAATTCTACGCAGGTCATTAAAGTATATTTTCACACATGCTGCGTGCTTATATATGCATGCAATAAACGGTATGAGTATTGGATTATCTTTAAAAGAGTAAGCCTAACCATAGAAACAGTAACAATAACCATTTATCGTTAAAACAGTAACCATAACCACAGAAAACTTACGCAGCTGGTGGGGCCAGCTGGGTCTTCTATGACGCAAAGGTTGCGTCGGTCCACTAACATGAAGTTTTTCTGCAGGTCGCTGTAGGCTGCTTGACACTTGCGCAGGCCCAGCACCTGCAGACCTAAGGGCAGGTGTAAGCTAAGCTAGACCACATGATACCGGTTAGGTTGAGGTAGGTCATGTGACACCAGCAGACCTACAGAAAGAAGTGGGGTGGGGTGAGCTAGACCACATGATACCGGTTAGGTTGAGGCAGGTCATATGACACCAGCAGACCTACAGGCAGATGTGGGGTGAGCTTGACCACATGATACTGGTTAGGTTGAGGCAGGTCATATGACACCAGCAGACCTACAGACAGAAGTGGGGTGGGGTGAGCTGGACCACATGATACCGGTTAGGTTGTGGCAGGTCACATGACACCAGCAGACCTACAGACAGATGTGTGGTGAGCTAGACCACATGATACCGGTTAGGTTGAGGCAGGTCATATGACACCAGCAGACCTACAGGCAGATGTGAGGTGAGCTAGATCACATGATACAGGTTGGGTCTGTCTCNGCATAACATACCATTTAGAATACTTATGTTTTGAAAACAATATCAGGAAGCCGGTGGCCGTTAGCTGCAATACACATGAAAAATTGAATTCGCCATCATCTTCGTGCAAGAGATTTACCTGCAATGTGCCATTGATGATTCAGATCCTATAAATCATCGATGATTCATCGATGAATGCCACCTATACTCGCCACCCTCTCGATTTATTGGAGTTTTATTGTCGAGTTTTGGCAGATCTGGCCACCCACCGTTACGCCACCTGCAATCTACCATCGCCACCTATAATCATCGATGCGCCACCCTTAATTTTTACTTGGGTAGCAGACCTACAGACAGATGTGAGATGAGCTAGACCACATGATACAGGTTAGGTTGAGGTAGGTTATATGACACTAGCAGACCTACAGACAGATGTGAGATGAGCTAGACCACATGATACAGGTTAGGTTGAGATAGGTTATATGACACTAGCAGACCTACAGACAGATGTGAGATGAGCTAGACCACATGATACAGGTTAGGTTGAGGTAGGTCATATGACACCAGCAGACCTACAGACAGATGTGATGTGAGCTAGACCTTACCCGTATGATTGACCGTACCGTTGGATTGGGGCGGGTGTGAGATGAGGAAAGTCATATGGCATCTATCGGTTTACGGGGCTAGAGTAGGGTTTGCCAGAAATTTGAAAATGTTAGTAACTTTTTTTTGTCCCATTACAGCAAGCCAAATATCATGACCATGTAATATCCCGATACGATAAAGGAATTGTGGATATTGCCAAATAACCAAGTTTCCGGGTTGCTCCACACACACACAAGATATACACACACAAACAATATTAATAATTATAAATAAAAAGTAAAAAAACACTCATTCATGGGAATATAAAAGAAAACAATACTCTTAATACACCGTATAAAAATAACACTATGAAAACTCATCTTCACGGCTCCAATCATTTTGATGACACAAAAACCGCACAACTTATTACTAATCTATTGACTGCACCAATATTAAAACCGCTTGTCCTTTACTCCACTAAATACGTTATTTTTGTTTGCATCTATAAACTTGAACATTTCAGGTTGAATCTGAAAGCAGTATAATTACTTCGTGTAGAGATAAAGTAAATAAGATGGCATGCAAAGAACTGTTGCTCCGGAGCTTCGTTTCTTTTTGCATTCAGCTGCTTTCAGTGATTGATAAATTCGTTAAACACGATCGTACGAGGCTATTATAAAAAAACGGCTGCTATCTTAATCATCGATTCAGTTTTTAGCGAGACCCATCCAAGTTTTGCACAACGTGATTTATCAACTCATTCAAATTTATTTACATATCTACGCTTCTTGCGTGTTAAGAAGAAACTCTAACTTAATGTCAATTTGTCAGGTTTGGTGATTTCAATTTTCAGATAATTTTCTGCCAATTGTTGGTGCAATCGGATTAGGTAGTTTGGTAAGGGAAATAAATGAAATGATACATTGACATATGATAATTGGCAAATGTATGCCAAGATTGGCAGATGATTGGCATAGGTATGTCAAAGTAGCTTCGAACATAAACTACCGGGCTTCGGAACTCCATGCCTGTTCCAAATTTAATTCACGAAAGATAACTACTCGCTTTATTAAAAGATAATAGTGAAAAAATTATTTTCAGTTGATAGAAAGTGTGATCAATTAAAAATCATTATAAAAGCAATTTTGAGGTACCTACTTTGGGTACTAGACGTCCATGAGGCCACTATGAGCTGAGTGCCAACGGCGGGTGTGGGGAGGGCGGGGAGACACACTGGTCCCACCTTAGCTGGTGGATTATATTATATTATATTATAATATAATATATTATATTATAATCAAGGACTACTACACACAGGACATGCATAGCCTATGTCCAGCCTCTGCTAGCAGAGGCGATCGCCTACACTATGAAAATGCTGTAAATACTGGTAAATAACAGGACATGTAAGATAAGAAAATCAGGCACATTTTATTATTTACCGCCCGCAATAAATCACACAAAAAAAGTTACACCTCATGATATCGATCAGTAAGTTGGCCGCCGCTTGGCTCACCCGTGAAGGTAACGGGAGGGTCGATGGTGACTACCGCCAGGTTGTCCAGGTTGAAGTGGAGCACCCAACCAGGGTCGGTGCGCCCTACAATCAGGTGATCGATGTAGGCATCTGCATCGTTGTTGCGATCCTCAACTAAACCACTTCTTCCTCCACCGCCACCACCACAACCAGCATTTTCACTTCCATCAGTACTACCATTTCTACCTCTAGCGAACTCACCACCTCCCTGGTCTCCCAAGCGCACGATGGTGCTGTCACAGTAAAGACCAAATTGCAAATTTAGTCTAAAGAAATCATATATTAATGCCTCAAACGCGGTGCGCTTTTATTTGACGATAACAGGCAAATATTTCACTTTTGTAGTCCTCCGAACATACAATCTGAAGAAAAAATTCTGAACGCTTCGAAGTACAAACTTACGTTGGGTACCGTCTTGACAGTCTAACCTACGTCATTCAGAGCTGTGGGCTCTATATACAGTAATTATTATACGTTCTCTGCCATCAGATATTGATCATAATGCATTTTACTAATACTTGAGCGGAAAATTATTTGCGAAGCTTGTCAGTAAAATCATTATTAAAAGTTTTCAAATTGTGTACTGACGGCTGACGGAGCTCCGGTTGATAGAAGCATGTGACTGCCGTGATGACATGGCTTTGTGTCACCAACGTGGCAGAGCACATCGACCTAAAGCCATTCGCAGTCAGCCGGCCCAGGCCAGCCAGCCACGGCCAAGCCTGTAGTAAGGTAATAAGGTGAGAAATCCTGTAGGTTTCTCATTAAGAGAAAATCTCTACAGTTGCAAGAAGCAGTTGAGGATGGCCATTAAAATAACTGTTTAATTCGTTCGTTGTGGCAACAGTGAAAAAAAAACAGGTAAAACTTTTAGCCACAATGAAAGGGTTTTTGTAATTTAGTTTCAGAGACCTGTTCACCGCCTTCTTGAGCTGGTTGGATGGCAACACCGCACTCCCCGGGACCGGGCAGTTGGGCGCGCACCTTCGAGCGCGCTAGACGTGGACGTGGCGTGTCTTCCGCTGGTATCGCTGTGTTGGGCGGCGGCTGGTAGGCAGGATACTCGCAGCACACGTACAATTCGGCGACATCCACACTATGACAAGTAAAATTTGTTAAATATATCCATAGTAATATCCATACAGTCCATAAATATATCCATAGTAATTAAACTTTATTATTCAAAACTTCGGGTAATTGTACGTAGAAACAAATGACCTTAATGAAATAAAACCTATTCAATTTTTTCTACAGTTAAATCATTCAAATTTATAACGAAATATATAGTCGTTCAATACCCTATTAATAATAAATTTATAAATTTTTAACCTATATATCTACGAGTAGAATCAAAGAGATATTTGCATGCTATCCATTCTCAGTACGTCGACAAACTCAGGAATATAAGAATCTTATCAAAATTTGAGCTCCGCGTGTCAGACTGTTTAATGAAACAATTTACACTTGTAAAAAACATTGTGGCAGAGAGAAGATCTAAGTAAGTAAATATAATACACTAGGTTCACTCAGGAAGGATAAAATTTTGGTGCACTGAAAGTAAACAGTGAAAATGAGATTGCTTTTCTCACAACAAATAAAATAAAACATAGAATAAAATTCCTCAATGATTATGAATGATAAGCAAAACAATGTTTTAAGCATCACGTGTGAAATATTAAACAAACAATAGCATATGTATCGTGTAGAATTTACTCCTAACAAATGAAATAAACAAACAAACTGGCAACATACCCACAGCACATACAAATCATATGACACACAAAATTCACAAAATGACACAGACTGATTGAACTCCCAACTCACACTATCCAATGAATTCCAAAACGACATAAAAATTTCGTAAAACATCCATCACGATTGGCACAAACAAACACACAAACGAACAAAGCAAAACTCTAAAAACACTCAATTTTGCGTAAAACACCCAATACACATACAGCCTCTCAAACAAATACAAAACATACACACACAAACAAAATTCAAAAAAAGAGCACGCAAGTTTGCGTAACATACCGAGCAAAAAACACACTAAACTACAAAAACATACAGCACACTATACAAAAACACACATCAACACCCTATATAATAAAATACTTTAAAAAAATAAAAAAAACACGTTTTTCTTGTGGGCTAAAAAGTAGAAAATAAATTATGGTTCGCCCCAAAAAACGTGTGTCGGGCAGATTTATGCTTAAAGCGAAAAGCACTACACACACGAATTTTTGAAATTTGATGGTGAACGTACAGCCCGACCCACGTTTTTTGGGGCGAGCCATAATTTATTTTCTACTTTTTAGTCCACAAAGAAAACGTGTTTTTTAAGTTTTTTTTAGTATTTTATTTTCTCCTTTTTAGTCCGTTGCTACACGGACTAAAAAGCGTCTCTTTTTAGTCCGTTGCTAAACATGAAAAACGTGTTTTTTAAAAAGTTTTTTATATAGTCTATTTTCTACTTTATCTAATGACTTGATTAAGTATGACTTGACGTACGTATCGATGATACGCAGCGTAAGCGCCTGCTCGTCTATAACGTCAGCGCCCGCACGTCATACTATATATATACTATATATACATACTTTACTCAATTAAGCTAATTAATTTAGGTCTCTAATTGCTAGTTTTTATGATTGTATCTGAAATTGTTAGGCGAAAATAGCCTGCATGCCGAATTTCAGATCTCTAGAGCAATCAGAAGTGGGCTAACAAACAAACAAACAAACAACCAAACGAGAAGCTGAGTAAATAAAAACGTGTTAAGAACCCACAACAACACCCTATGCAAAAACACCCAACAACACCCTGTACAAAAACGCAAACAACACCCTATACAAAAACACAACAACATCCTAAACAAAAACACGTAGCAACACCATATAAAGAAACACATGCAACACCCTATACAAATACACACAACACCCAATACAGAAACACATTATACATAAACACACAACACTCTATACAGAAACACATAACAACGCCCTACACAAAAACACACAACACCTATACAGAAGCACTCACCGTGCGTGAGTGAACGCACTGCACAGAAGTGCGGTCACTCACCGGCACTGTTGCTGCAGCAGGAAAATCAGTGCGTTCAAGTTGTGTGACAGTCGCTGGAGCGGCAGCAGCTGCGGACAGTCCGTCACAGCCACACACATTCCTGCACAATAATCTTAGTTGTGTCTACAGCATAATTACTCAAAAAATTTCAAAGAAGCAATTATAGTAAAGAAAGGTGCAAGAAAATTTTGCGTATTATGAAGGGAGCCGTTCTGAGACCAGCTCTATAGTTAGCTGTGAAAACATACAAATGGATGACCGAGTGCCATAACATATACGTATAGCAAATTGAACATATGAAACTTGAATTTGAATAATAATGGTGCAAAAAAAGATCGGAGCAGGATTAATTAATAAAAAAAAACAAAAATTGCGATTTGCTGTCAACCCTGAGTCATATATGGAACTTACTGTACTTGTCAAAAGACTTGTCCTCTGAGAAACTCGCACGCTTAATGGAAGACGATGAAGCTTTCTTGTCTATGTGCTGCCTATATTTATTGCCTAGTTTTTATATGCATGCGCGAATAAAATGCAGTTACTTTTGGATAATATCCTCGATTAGATAATATCGATTGGATAATATCCTCATTTACTCACCAGGCTCCCCATTGCTGGAGAAACATGCGTCGCCGATCTCAGGCTGGTATAGAAGCGGTGTTGAGTTTTGTAATGATTCGTAACTGCCGAGTACTCGTTGTCTAGATAAGTGGTGGCTGGGTAACTGGTGGCTGGGTAACTGGTGGCTGGGTAACTGGTGGCTGGGTAACTGGTGGCTGGGTAACTGGTGGCTGGGTAACTGGTGGCTGGGTAACTGATGGCTGGGTAACTGGTGGCTAGGTAACTGGTTGCTGGGTAAGTGGTGGTTGGGTAACAGCTCGCTGGGGCTAAAATTCGGTAAATCAGAAACGACATTTTCCAGAGGTAACTGTTGTCGCAGGGTCGACAAAACCGTTGAAATTTTTGGGTTTTGCTCACCCAGGAAGATATTATCCTCATTGAATTTATCGCTTATGTCGTTCAGAGGAAACTTATTTTCTATGTTTCCTTCAGGCTGAAGAGGACTTATGAGGTTGCCTGAAGTGCCTGGAAGTTGCGGCGGCCTTAGAAACCTCACAGCCATGGACGAAGGAGCATCAGGGGCTTCTTCAACCACGTCCTGGAACTTTGGATGTTCTGCTTCGCTGTTCCGGAGATCGTCAAAAAAATTTGCGGTTTCAGGTGAAAAAGAAGAGAAATCTTCGAGTTTCCTTTTGTCATTTCCAGTTCCAAACACAGTACTTGATTCCCAATTCAGATTGTGAGCGTTGGGTTGTGAATTAGGACTTATTTCTTCTCCGAATTTTTGACGGAATAAATTTATAATAGATTTTCCGTGTTGTGGGTAATCAGGGACTTTAGAAGCCGCTTCGTGGGCGACCAGAACAACGGTCACCCACCACGCTGGAAGCAGGCGGAGGGTAAGGGGGCAGAAGGTTAATTTATTTATATTTTTAAAGGACACATTAGCAAAATTATTTCGGATTGATTTATAAGCTAATTTAGAATTATATCAGTAATAAAATAAAGCAATGGAATACGAGGTTTATTATACAATAATTAGATTACTAGCACCGTTACTATAATGTGCGTACTAAAATCTTTTAGTAGCAAAGAAATGATTTAAACCACTCTTAATATAGCAGCACAATTTAAATCTAATTATAAGATTGGAAGTAATTTTTTATTGTTAATTTTTCGAGCGCAAATCTAATTTGGCGTTTAAAATAATTTTACATTTTTGTTACAAACTCTCCAATCTAGAAATATTGTTAAGTAATATCTTAACATGATACGTTTTCTTGATGCGCAGCCAAATGTCCCCAGTACCACCCGTTTTATAACATACACAGAAACAAAAACTTTCGGTAAGATATTATAGATTTGAACTTTCTTTATGAATATAAATTAGAATCATATGAGCGCAAAATTGGTGACAGAATTACCAGCATTTTTGTTTATCTTGAACACGGAGTAATTAAATGCAATACATCAAAAATGAAGGAATAATTTAGTGTGGGTCCCAAATTCTAGAAATTTATTTGTAAAAACATCAGAAGAAATTCCACTTAAAAAACTTCCCGACGGGTGCAAACTTGTACAGTTTTTATATAACGTTCCCAGTAAGTTCAAGTTGAAGTTCCTTCGGGCTTCTGTACAACTCACCAGTTATGCTGAAGATGCTAGTTGAGATGGACATTACGGGCACTTGAATTAAAGTTTGAAATTCATGTAGGTTATCAAGCTGGTCATATCTTACTTTGGAAAATATTACTAGAAAATATTAAGTGAATGGATCTCTTTTATCTTATGAAGTCATTGAAACACTGACAATCAAGGCCTATTCTAAGGTTAATACTATCACGAAGATAGATATTTCTTATCACCGATTTTGTTATACGTGAATTTTTCTAATCAATTTGTAATAAATAGATATGAACGATTATTTCCTTTATTATATCACTGTGATTTTATGAAGCCTTGCTGGCTGGAATACATGCGCATTGTGAAAATTTATTCACTATAATCAGTAAATACTGTTATAGCCAGTTAAGATTGACATTGAATAATGGTTTGTCTGGATGAAAATGATAACCGTAAGATTAAATTCGGCGCTTAGGGTACGCACACAGTGAAAGCAGGTTGCTAGCGTGCTGGTTACCTGCTAAGGCTGGCGCCAGAAACCATAGAATACAGAAGCCTATTCGTGCAGGTTTTCACTGTGAACACTTAATTATTATCCTATGTTCATTCTTGTGGCAGGTTGGAGCAGGTTGCCCGCCCGGGCAAACCTGCTTCCACTGTGTGCGTACCCTTACGTTGGTAGATAGTTTGGGGATTTAGGTTGCTAGTTAACAGTGATACTCGCTTCTGCTGGATAAGAACCGTTAACATTATGTTAACAGGAATATAAAAGCCAAGAGTGCCTGATAATTCCGTTACATATAATTTTAATGTACATCAATTGACAGCCGTCGCGTGGGCTGATAAATTCAATTTTAACTCAATACTTATTATTTGTATCTATAATATTTTTCTTCTGTATCAGTATACAGATAATATGAGCTTTGAGTGGGCTTATGTAAATAAATCGTTCAGTATTTTTTTACTGTTAATACAAATAATTGGCAGCGTAACAATAAATTGGTTCAAGGTTGTATGATATAATACACAGTGTGAAAAATGTTTGTCGGTACTGCTGTCTATTTCTATTTATGATTTATTTTGTCAGCAGTAGGTGTGACATATAGTGCATCTCATTAATACTCAGATAATAATTAGTAATTAATTAAAATAATAGATGTGTCTAGCGTCCGTAAAGGCATAATAAACACAAAAAAGTGCTAATTGGCCCTCATAAAAGTTTTAATGCACATCTTATACATAGCCCCAAGTAAGCAATTGAACAGCACGCGTTTACCACACATCCTGAATGTGTAGTTATTTAACAGCGATTATATACATGTAAAAACACATAATAACTGCCAAAGTGATATACAACCATCTACTTTTGGGCCACAGACGCGACTGATGCCACATCGAAGCTGAACATTTAACTCAGGACTAATCTATAATCTGAACGCGAATCTACAGAGCTCGAAGGTTGGTCTGCAACTGAATTATTTCGTCAGGCTTGCTGAACCCAGCAAGTAGAGCGTGCACTTATGCGTGTCACGCCAACACTTGCGTATGTCACGCCAACACATGCGTATGTCACGCCAACACCAGCACGAGTCATAAAACTGTCTCTACATTACGCTCGAGCGCTAAGCAGTTCATATGTTTTTGGCATCGGTCACAAAATTTTTTGACATCCTCTCTAACCTCGAATTTTTCCTCGACATTCCTCTCGCACTGTCGCCTCGATCATTACCCACTAAGCATGAACGTTGTTAGTGAGACAAATTCACCAAGTCGTCACTTTAGGTTGTTACACACGTCAAATTTTATGCCCGATGCTTGACGTCTCAATTGAGTAACTGAAACTGTAACTGTAACATGAAACTTGCCACCGAACCAGCGTTAACATGCGTGACAAGGTCCCTCTACTCAGATGAGCGTGTGGGGCTTCACTGGAGCGTGGTAGATTATCAAAGCGCGACTCTCGTGAGAATTAAGGACGTGTTTAAGGTGGCCATGCAGTGACTGTTGAAATTGTTTTATTTTGGAAGTGAATTTTAATAATGCAGGTTTTATTTTTGCTGCCGCGTACATATGTTATGCAGAATAATTTGTTTAAAATAAGGTTATAATTTGGACAATAGCATCATAGGCGCTGAAAAAGCGGCACGAAGACGGTGATTGTTTTTGAAAAATGCAAATTGAAAATATATTGAAAAATACTGAAAAATTTCAATAGATATATTTTATCGAATTAAAACTCAATCATTTATCCTGCTAAGTGCAAAAATTTTTTAAATATTCCACAAGCATTGGTTGTGCAGAAACTTGTACAGAGTTAACCCTTGATATCCATTCTTTTGAATTCGGTTGCTTCTCATCTTTGTTTCTTTGCTGTCACTGAAGATATCTAATTTTTATTTGAGGGGACACGTGGTGTAGTGAACCAGGCTGGCGAGATTAGTTGCACATAAGAGACGGACACTTTGAGTGCGTGAGAGGACACGTCTTCTGAGCAATGATGTCCACCAAGCTGCCTTCTTCGACAGGAGTTGTCTTGGTGACTGAGTTGAAGAGTTCGAGCGTGAAGCTGCTCGGTAAAATCTGTTGAGATTGAAGGTAACGTCAAGCCGTCTGCTGATGGTTGAGTTTGATAACTCTGACGAATCCCAATTTTTTTCTCCCCTCAAATTGAAGATAGACAGAGTACAACGCGACGATGAAGATAGAAAAAACAATGATAGAAAATAAATCAGCTTGAAGTATTAACATAAATGTGTGATTTCTACAAGTAGATTGGAGATATTGTTGCATCATTTTTCATTATGTGGAACCGTACATTATTTCTGATGTTATATCCTTATTTAGATTTCGTTGTAAGCAAATAAAGATAAAATTGAATCCTATGAACATACAGAAAAAATATGATTCGAAGCAGAGACCATAAAAATCTACTTTCAAAGATAAATAATATAAATTGTATTGTTAATAAATTATTGTATTGTTAATAAATTTCCGACAATCAATACATTTCAAGTACTTCTGCAATTGAACAATATCAAATTTACCGCATTCATTCATAATCGTTGTTATCTTTAAAGTTTCAACGTGATGTTCATATGAATTCGTTACTCACGTTATCGTCGGGCCCCAATAACGTCTTGTTTCGATAGAACAGCGAGAGGCAGTTCAGGTAATAAATAAAGTGATGAGCGTTTTTGCCGAAGATATTATAAATGCAATCTGGCGAACCGTTCACATCGTCGCCAACCCTGTCGGTCGGTTCATCATCAAATTTCACAGCGTTGCGAGGGGTCCTATAGGCCGTCTCATTATTTCTGGCTGAATCTGGTGAAAATATGAGAAATATAATATATAATAAATATAAATTCGTTCGTAAGTTTTCGTTAGCTATAGAAGGCTGAAAATTTGTTTCCTTTCACGGTGTCTTCAGTGGTTGTAGCTAATAAAATATCCTCTTCACGACAATTTTTTTCATTCTGGTAACAATATTTGTTCTCAGTGGTTGTCTCTCGCGTTGCTTTACCACGAAATTTGGATGGAAGCTTCGAAGGCCCACGTTATTCTCCACGTCATAAAGAGACGCTTTAATATACACATCAATCAAATTTTTCATAGTATATATGAATGAACATAATAACAGTGAAACGTCTTCATTCTCTTTTTAAGAACGCCGAGCTATCACTAAACAATAAACAACACGGCCGCAGGAACTTTACTATAGACAGACGTCGCATCTGATACTTCTCATGCAAAGAGCATATAATTTCAGGATACTTACCTTAGACAAACGTGTACTTGATGCTTCTCAAATAGTCCATGTTTACGCGAAATTTACATTAGACACGCATCACATTTGTTACTCTCCACGGAACTTATGTTCACAGGATACTTACATTAGGCACACTTTATATTAAATTCTCTCGCACATCACGTCAATAAATAAATTGCTCCTTATACCGATTGTAAGCATTTCTATCGGCCTCTGTTTTCATCTTGTGCTCTGGGGTACGTAGAACTTCCAACGAGTTACGCAACAACTTTAAAAAATGTAGTCATGTCCATTGCTAATAAAATCCGATTCACACATATAGGCCTGAAAGTCGAGTTCACAAAAATTGTCACAAATTTGTTGGCCAGTGCAGCGAATTGATAGAGAACGAACAATCAAGGATCTTCAATTCATTCAACTGCTAACTATAGACAAAATTCGTATTATTTTACAATGCAAGTTGGCTAAGACAGAACAATTTTCAATGTAACACAAGTTAAAACATTACGTACTAATATCATTAACTGATGATAATGAACGCTCGGAAGTCGTAAATCTTTACCGTCGCGGGATGACGCCCGCTTGCCGATGGGGTCACCGGGCGCAGGATACTCGGCAGGAGCGTTCAGGAGCGTGAGGATCCTGAAGGAGCATTTGCTGTGCCAGAAAAATCTGGCGAGACCATGCGGGCCTAGCGTTCCGTACATCAGCCTCTGTTAAGAAATACCTCAATTTGAAAGAACCTATTAAAATTAATTAATGGCATGCAGTAACTTGTATATTTATAGTACATCATCCTCTGTGAGAAAATACCTCAAGTTGAAAGAACCGATTAAATCGCAATAACTTCAATATTCCAAATGTGTGGCGTGGTAACTGCAAAAATGCAAGCAAAACAGAACCACCCCAAGTTTCACTTGAGCTCACACTGATCACTGGCGAGAACGTGTCTGCGAGAAATTCCAAGAACCTCTTCGGCGTCGGGTGGTGGCGCTCGAAATGAAACAAGGCGTTGCTGGGACGACTGCCCTTGTTATCCTGTGTGAAAAACAGAACTTTTCTTGATTATTAGCGAAAACGTGTTCGTTTCTTCACATTTGAGGGTGAGATATTATTCTCAACGTGGTTTTCCTGTTTAACACAATAATACCACATAAAAAATATCTTGTTGTGGAATACAGAGGCTTCATGCAATATAAAGAGGTGGTTGAAGAAACCAGATTCAAAAATGCATTGACGCGGCCAAGAACGAGATTCATGAGCGCTCATTTTTAAAGCGGAGTAATAGGATAACATAGGATATCATAGAATAATAATGATTAACAAAGGAAACATAGAATCATAATGAAAAGCAATAATGAGTCACCTTTATGATGAGCTGTATTTAGGTTCTAGTGCAGCTAGACATCTAGTACCTTTACGACATCTAGTACATTTACAAAAAACTGCCAAAAACTAAACTATATGAAGTCTAAGAGAAATAAACTAAAAATTGAATTGGAACTAACGGTACCATCCTGACACTTGTAAATCTATTAAATCATTAATCCTCAGAAACTTACTTCAGCCACGAAGTAATTCTTTGAAATGTTTTTGAACGGTCTTAATGCCAATATGTCGGTGTCCGTATACAATCCACCAGAATTGTAAACAATGGCAAAGCGCATCACGTCGCTCAGTTGGGTGAATAGGTAAGCTGCAAAATAAAATCTTTATTTGTTTTTCGTTCACTATAAGGGAAAATATACATCACTTTCACTATTGGTCACTTTTTAAACTTAAGGAATATGAATTTGCAAGGAGAAAAGTCCGACTTGGGTCGTTACACGTATGTCAAAATTATGTTTTAAATAATTGATTTTTTCTTGAATATTTGAAAATTTCCTGGAATAGAATAACGGTAGATTGAAAAATGGAAGCAGAAGCTCAAAAATAGAGAAGGTAAAAAGTTTTCTTGTATGTGAACTCGTAAAATGTTCATTGTTCCATTCATGAAAGCGTCAATTCACCCGCCACCGAAGAGCGTTTTCAAGCACTCAAGACTCACGAGTGTTCCAGAAGTCGTCGGAGTTGAGGATCTCATGAAAAGATGTGTTGCGCATGACTGTGCGTACGTTCACGTGCGCCACGCAGAGACGAGGACAAATTTTCTGCAGACTCAGCAATCTTTGGGCAGACGAAGCATCGAGCGTCGCGCGCGTCACCAGAAACCAAACGTGAGCGTCCGAGTTGACGGAGCACATGCTGAACGGTAGGAATATTTTAGTAGCTACATAAAAAAACACATAATAACTTTCTATGACAAATAAAACAGAAATTTAGCAACTTAATTAATAAAAATTGGTTAAAGGCGAGGGGAAATGTAAAATTCCAAAGAAACGTCCCTAATTCTGCTGAACCTTAAAGGAACAATTACTAATTTACAAAATTGGAAGAAAAGCAACTTTCGTTTGAGGTAATATTGGTGTGATTTGGGGTAATTTTGTGCACCTTTTAATAAATAGTAGGAAAATACCTTTCAATTGAGCACAACATTTTATGCGTAATTTTCATCGCCATGGACACTTCTATCTGGTAAATGTTTTGAGCCGATGGATCTGGAGCCACGTCCCTGGAAAAGATATACGATGTGTCTTACAATAGTTAACAAAATAATTATTTATAGATTTTGAGTGCATTTTAAGTCTTAAATTTTTATAATGTTGTCATTTTGTACAGATATCATTTATCATTTGTACAGGTGGTAAAAAGTTTTTGAAACAAAATATTCTCACGTACTAACTCATTTTCCGGAAAAGTTCAGAGCACAAGTTCAAGAGAATATGAACACAAGTTCGAGAACATTTTTCAAGAGAATATAACGAATATCCGGAAAAGTCCAAGAGAATATGACGCGAAGAAATTCAACTATGACATAATGTGAACAAATTATTTCAACTAAGAATTTAATAATAGAGAAAATTGTGCGAATTAAGGTTGCAGAAAGAGATCAAATGATCAAATAGACACTCATGTACAAAAAGAGCAGTTATTTATTTGATCAAATAACACGAAACAACTTTGGAATCACAAAATGTCCACAGATCTTTAAATAAGTCATATTAACTATCAAAGATCCTCCTCGTGATTCACTATAACATCGCCCAACAGAAGAGCGTTGCTACGAGCTAAAATTGAGGAAGTACACAAATGAGTAATTAAGTTATCGTATATTCACGTACTCGATTGTAGTGCATCTCAGACCAGAGATAAATAGATCTCTATATATGTTTATGTAGGTATAACTCATTGGACAATTACTTGTACAAATGAGGAAGTTTCGTATATACACTATCTGTTTGCATTACACCTCAGGTCAGAGAAAAATAAGATGTTTATGTAGGTATAATTCATTAGACAATTACTTGTACAAATGAGGAAGTTTCAATTACTTGTAGAAATGAGGAAGAGACCGAAGCTGGGGGTCGTTGACCCCCGGGTGGCATCCAAGCTTGGGGGGCGTCGTGGGCGCTGTATCGGCCACGGCGCCGTAACCGTAGGCTTCTCTCCGCCTCCTTATTTCTTCAGCTGGCACCTGAACCTCTGTCGAGTGACACGTGGAAAACATCAGTTAATTTAATTATTTATTCCAAATAAAATGCTAGTGAATTTCCTTATGATTCATACTCATGAGTACACCATATTTATTTACAGCAATTTATTCTAACATCAATTTATTTAGATTTCATTCTTTTTTAAAATATATGCGTATATACGGTTTATTTAAATATTTTGAGATTTACGAAAAATTCGAAAAATCCATGGAAATGCAATTATTGATGACATTAGTTAATTAAAACAGCATTGCCAAATCAACTACTTGCGAATTCACGATTTATTTATTTAAATAAGACTAAGGAAAGATTTAATGCCTTTGCGTATAAGATCATTATTGTTATTTTTTATCTCGTGTTATTGATATTTGTATTTTTTTAATTACCCATATAATGGGAATAAGCGACCGCCACGACTATGACTGAGGTCACGGTAATGAGTCCCCAGGAGTTCCCTGGAAAAAATCAATACGTAGAAATATTTGAATCAATTATAACATTTACTGTGCAGCAATAATACTCGACAGGTAAAAATTATTATATTAATATTTTAGTAGTTGCATTGTGAGTTTCCGTATCATGGCAATACGCAAAAAGCTATAATAAATAGGTTGAGGGGAGGATTTCGCCTCATTAGAGCTCATCTTGGAATGTGCATTATCATTGGAGAAATTCCTGCGATGCCCACCCTGTTTGGTGTTCACGGCACACGCGATTCAAAATGTCTTTTGTTCCCCAAGTAAAGTAATTATTAAAATGAGAGAGAGGACGCAATAATAAATCAGTGTTTCTGACCTTTAACGCCGGTTTTTGTCGAAGATTCAGACATAGCGCTCCAGGGCTGCGCTTGCGGTAAACCTGCGGCTATGCAGCGAAGAAAGTCTCCGAGTACAAGCAAGCTTCTTATTGATTGTGGGCTATTGATTCAAGGTAATTAATCAGTTCCAGCTAATAATTGAAATTGCATTTAGATCATTGTAAGCTACTTTTACGAGAAATTTTCATGACAAATATCATCTGAAATTAAATTAAACACGGCATCATGCATAATAAATTGCATTAATTATCCTAAATTGCTTACCTAACCTTGTAGACGTGCAACTCTCACTCATAAGGTGAGGAGGTTGTGCCAATGCACGGAGAAAAATGAACTACATGATAGGGGACAACATGTGTGAAGTAATCGCTTTTGTAAGTCAAGTTATTTGGAGCGTCCCACCCCATTTTGTGTCGTTGTGGTCGTGGTCTGTTGCACTTTAATTTCACAACATTTTTCGATGAAATCGACTCAATTCTACTTCGGAAAGCTGCGACGGCTGGGGTGTGAAAGAGATTCGGTGGCAATGAATAACAACTATTATATTATTATATATTATATTATATTATATATAACCACGACTTTCAAGCGGTTGTGGTTGGTGGCTCAAAATCTAGTTTAGTGAGGGTGAAATATGAGTGACGCAGAGTTCGGTGTTTGAACCGCTTCTTTTCCTCATCAACATCGCCGTCATAGATGCCGCTAACATACACGTCATTTACAGGCCACACAAAAGTGAAGATGAGGTTTTTGGACTGACTTAATCTGCATAGCTTGCAGAGTAAACTATGCTCAGGAAATGGCTGGGCCCATGTGAACGACATGCAATTGAAGCATTGGGATGCAGATTTATATAAAATATAGGTTGTGTTCAGGAGGTAGCAAATGACAGACAACAGATTGGGCGATCGTTTGCAGTTTCGAACTAGAGTAGTTTGGCCAATGGCTAATTTCTTCAGAGCCTTAGTTCTCCCTCATTGTGAAAAGTTTTGCGAGCCGTGGGCTCGGTTCCCTGTCAATGTTTTGGAGGAACCACAGTACGTTAATTAAACATAAGATTGGCAGACATACTAATCTCTTTTATATGGCCAACATTGCTGTCTCTGAAGTTTTTATGAGTTACTACATGTAACCGAATCTTTCAATACATTCAACAACGAACAATTGGTCGTTACAAAGGTATATCTATGGTTTATTCATATTGTTCAGAATTATGCATTTACTTAATATAATCGAACCTCCTGTACTTTGATGCGTCCTCACAAATAACAAGGGATACAATTTGCAACATTGAGCTCTGCTGTGCCCTGATCCGCAGCGCTTCAAGCAGTCTTCAAAATAATGTTGTACGAAATTCGCTTAGTTGATTTAGGAACAATTTCAATATAGATGGTATTTCAATCTTCAAGAAATAGTATTACAGTGTAACAAATTAAGAATCAGTTTAAGGCTAACTGGAGTAAAAGATAGGCAGGGATGTTTTGCGTGATTACGAGCGGGCAAAATATTTCAAATGGACAATTCAATAAACATTGAATTCTACTTGAGATGAACCATTGAGCGACTTAAGTAATTACAAATTTCAGATAATAATGATGTTAGTAATTTTTTCAACGCATAAATAACGCTGAAGTATTATCATGAAATGATGTTAGCTAATTTTAAATAATGATGAAATAATCAAATTTTTTTCTTGACGCTGATCGCCCATGCCTCGAGGCTGCAGATTCTGATGGCCGTGGCTTCGTAGTTCCATTTTCTGAGGGCTGGAAAAGAAGGTTTGAAAACGAAAAATAATAATCTGATTGCAGAGAAATATTCTTTTTGATAATTTCATGTTGCGGTTTGTATTCAACATTGCTCTCATGTTGAATAATTGTGATTATTGTGTCGTTCCGGAGAGTCAGATTACCGACTGTAACTCAGATCTGAGAGTAAGGGTTTCGAGCCCGACGAAAGAGTTTAGCAGGATTTCGTTCATGACGAAAGAGTTTAGTAGGATTTCGTACATGATGAAGGGGGTTTATTAGGGTTTCGTTCATGACGAAGAGGGTTAATTAGGGTTTCGTTCATGACGAAGGGGGTTTATTAGGATTTCGTTCATGACGAAAGGGGGTTTATTAGGGTTTCGTTCATGACGAAAGAGTTTAGTAGGATTTCGTACATGACGAAGGCGGTTTATTAGGGTTTCGTTCATGACGAAGGGGGTTTATTAGGATTTCGTCCATGACGAAAGGGGTTTATTAGGATTTCGTTCATGACGAAGGGGGTTTAATAGCATTTCGTCCATAACGAAAGGGGTTTATTAGGATTTCGTTTATGACGAAGGTGGTTTAATAGGATTTCGTTCGTGACAAACGGGTTTTATTAGGGTTTCGAACACGCAGAAAGGGGCAATTAGTAAGGTTTCGAGCACGACGAAGGGGTTTAGTGTGGTTTCAAGCATGACAAAAAGGGCTAAGTATGGGTTTTGTGGAGGAAATTCCAATGCCTTGCGTGATTTTTGCATGGCAACCAAATTACAAAAAGCTTAGCTCTGTTGTCGTATGAATATTACGAGCGAGGTAGAATAGGAATGACATCATTACCAATATATTTTTGGTTGAAATTGATAGTTTTCCCTGTAAATTGATTATAAACAAACAAGATATTCATATCAATATTCACTGAAAGAAGTTATTTGAATTTGCCACTAAAAAATTCGAACGCTGGTCAGTCTCCCAAATCCAAAAGTTGAAAAATAACAGCAGAAAATGAAAACTAATGGGGGAATCAATTAACTATGCCGAGCAGAAACAAAATAGCTTGAGATGATATCAGACTGGAAAATGTTGTTTAGTTACAAGAAAATTATGCGGTTTTATTAATTTTCCCCCCAAAATTAAAGCGTGATCATAAATTATAAGTGGACGGTGCCAGACTTAGCAAACTCAGCTCAGAGAATTAATTAAATTCAACATTCAATTTCTTACATATGTATTTATGTTTTAAGTTAACGCATGTTAATTATCAACATTTAAATCATTAAACTAAGGAAAATTGTCCCACCTGCCATCACAGAGTTGACCCCTCGGCCGATGGCATACGCGCACCAGAGGATGAGCGTCAACAGCGACAGCACGAAAGCCAAGCGTCGGCCGGTCATGGACTGGACTTCGTGTGAATAGAAATTGTGGCAGGAAAACGCACGCGCAAGCGCCCTGATGAGACGAAATTACTCATTATACAAAAAATTATGATCTGAAAGATCGGGTTCCAAAGGCCGGATCCCTTGTGAATCGAGTCACGAAAAATTAAAGAATCGCCAACAGGCCATGGGCCTATTTCTTCAGTGTCGACACTTCTATTCTATTCTATTCTATATAATAGTCCGTTTTCCGCCAGGCATGTGAAATAACGAAAAGTACACACTCCCAGGTAATATACATTCAAGAAGGTTTATTGCACTTTGTTGTTGCTTTGCAGGACACCAGCCCTCGTTATCTGTCAGGAATAAACGCTCATCCGGGATTTATTCATTTTCAGCTAACGATAGAAATATCAATGAACAGATATTTTATTTGCAGATTATTGGAAAACAAAACGGCTATTAATAATACTCGTATTTAAAAAATTTAAAAAAAAAACAACGCATTAACAACAACGCGCATAATTTTCTATGACGAAACTTGCTGAGCCACGAAGTTAACATACATAAATTTTACAATGCACTGGTAAATTGATAAATTCATTTCACAAACGAGACTAATAAGAATATATAAAAAGAACCATGTGGATTTCAATGGAAAGCAACACCAAATGTGGTAGTGTAGCTGCGCCTCACAGGTCACTAACTTTTGTACCGCGATTTTCCTTGTAATTTTTTTGCGATCATTCAAACAGTTATTTCTTATATTTTTGGTGTTAAATATACTCATTTTTTTATTAATGTTTTTGTTTCTCGATTTTACAGGCATTTTCATTTAGAGAAAAAGTCTGTTCACCCTATCATCCGCTACTCGTCACTTTCATTCTGTCAGTCCTGAAGCACTTACACTTCACTGAATCTTTCGTGGATAGTTATATTGTGATATGTAACTGTGTGTATGACACTTGTGAATAGTTACATTGTGACATCTAGATTTGAGTTATGATATTTGTGCATTGTAGTTTTGTTAGAAATAACTAGGGTTACGTATTATTGCCGCATCTTGTTAAGTTTATTATTTTTTTCAGAATCATATTAGTTCATGCACTACCACGAACAATAGACTCGGTACAAGCCATCCATCCGCTGGGTTTATTTTGAGTTGAGTTTGGGTTCATTATTTTGTTCTTGCTTTTGTATTTAGTTTACATTCATTAGTATGCACCAGTGCCTTCGTATTAATGAAGTGCTAAAAATATAAAGTTCACTTCCCTGCACGTTAAAGTTTGGTTGCCTGACTGGCGCTGAAGTAAGAGCGTTCGGAATTCATCGTCGCGCTTACAGTAGGGACCATGATGAAATAGAATGGAAGCTCCTTCAGCACTTCACGATGTTTGTTCATCCCGTGGCCGTGTTCCTGATTGTTGTGCATGTCCCTAACAGCTCTCACTTCTCCATCATACGCGGGGACCTCACGCGATTGAGCAAGAACGGCATTTCGAAGCGCACTGGCCAGAGCGGCAAAGACGAAGCGTTTGCTTGTCTTGCTAGACGAGTTAATCAGACCAGAGAAAAGTGTTTGCTTGTCTTGATAGACGCGTTAATCAGACCAGAGAAAAGTGTTTGCTTCTCTTGATAGACGCGTTAATCAGACCAGAGAAAAGTGTTTGCTTGTCTTGATTGACACGCTGATCAGACCAAGTAACATTGATCTTCACGCAGCTTCTATTTTAGTATTAGTTCATAATCATTCTTTTTCAAGTAATAAAGTCATATTAACGAACTATATTCTGAAATAGTTCATTTTATTTACTAAATTAATTGTATTGTATGAAATAACATGTTTTTATCTGCTAACTAAGGTGGGGTTGCGTTGACGCGCAACAATTTCCTGTGCTGTAAATTTCAAATCTTATTTAAATTCCAACATCCAACGCTGTCAAGGCTTAACAAACACGGCATGTGCATCGCAGAGGCCAATATTAACCTCGGTCGCCAATACATTTTTGTCCAGCCTCAAATGGGAACTTGTTATGAACATGTTATGAACAT